GTGACGCCTCCGAGGTAGCCATCCTCAAGTACTTTGAGATGATCACCGGTTCGGTGGCCGCTTACCGCACCCGCCACCCAAAGGTCTTTGAGGTGCCCTTCAACTCGGTGAACAAGTACAGCCTGACGATCAACCAGACGCCCACTAAAGGAGATGCTGAAGCTATTGGCGGATATTACCTTTCCATGAAGGGCGCCCCGGAGCGAATTCTCGAACGGTGCACCACCATCCTCGTTGACGGCCCCAGTAGAGGCCGTCGAGAAGTGGCCCTCGACGAGAAAGCCCGGGCCAGTTTTGCCGCCGCCTACGAGGCGTTGGGCGGGGCGGGAGAGCGGGTTATTGGCTTTGCTGAACGGCACCTGCCCAAAGAAAGCTTCCCGCCGGGGTATCCCTTTAGCGAGGGCACTGACTCGGATGCCGCCGGCAAGGAGAATTACCCCGTCACGGGACTGTGCTTTTTGGGCGCCATCAGCATGATCGACCCGCCGAGGCCTAATGTTCCTGATGCAGTAGCCAAGTGCCGGTCGGCCGGCATCAAGGTCATCATGGTCACCGGCGATCATCCGGTAAGCAAAATACTCATTTTTCAAATTAGTTTTAACAAAATTTTTTCTTACAAAGATCACCGCCGCTGCCATTGCTCGTTCTGTGGGCATCATCTCTGACGATTCAGAGCACCACTTTGGTACTCCAACGCCGGGGTGCGACTCCCCGAGCAGCACCAAAAGCGACGACCAGAAGCGATTTTCGCTGCTAGCGCACTTTCCACAGTCAATCGTTATTAGTGGGGGTGAACTGGCGCAGATGAGCGAACCGGAGCTCGATTCAATTCTGAGAAGATACGGGGAGATTGTCTTTGCTCGCACTAGTCCCCAGCAGAAGTTGGCCATTGTTTGTGCCGCCCAACGGACTGGGGAGGTAGTGGCCGTCACCGGAGACGGCGTCAACGACTCACCGGCGCTTAAGAGGGCCGACATTGGCATTGCCATGGGCGTCACCGGGTCGGCGG